GATTGTATTACCTCGTTGCTAAGATTAACAAAATAGCGCTGACCGCGTAGAACTGCGTGTCATCTGATAGATACCAACTCCATAACATGCACTGAAAAAAGAATACATAAATTAGAAAGACAAATTACACCAAATATCTATGAAAACTCAAGCTGGAACAATTCTAGTAATTTCTAAGGTAGTTATTGAAAAGTATAGATGTGTAATACTCTTTTTATTAGTGTTTTTGTGGTCTGTGGGTGTGGTGACCAGGGTACCACCCAAGTGGGGAAACCAGTCCTAAAGGGGAAGTCAATAAAGTTATTTTATTTGATGGATATCCAAGTTCCGATGTTCCTTACCATCTGTTCGACAGGGAAAAGAGTGTTGATATAGAGAAGGTTCCTCCACCAGAACTGAGGACAGGTCTCGTGGTCGGGCGCCGGCGGCTCGAACACAGCGTTGTGCGCGAACCACTTCATCGTCACCTCCACCACGCCCAGCATGAACAGGTAGGGGGCAGTCAATCTGCACAATGCGACAAATTGACAGAATTCAATGAAAACAATAAGAACGGTGAATAATCTAGTTTCTAGATATATTTTATCTGTGTTACTAAAGGTTTTTTTTAATAAAAACTATTGGAGACCTTCCCATCAATCCAATTATGTAAGTACTAGCTTCCTAAGTACTAGCGACTACGTCCGCGTGAAATTAAAAAATAACAAAAGGGAGTTGTCTATGTGTTCCTTCAGACTATCCTCTACATCTATACCAAATTTCATCGAAATCCGTTCAGCAGTTTAGGCTACAAACTCTAACAAACATCCATCCATCTAAACTTTCGCATTTATAATATTAGTATGACTTTTGAAAGTAAGATACCCTAGAATACATTTAAAGAAAAGTAATTGTAGTCAAAGAATCAAGAATAATTTGAATTTCATGAAATGTTTCAATATGTACAAACCTGGCAAATCTGTATCCAATGAGGCCGAAGAACTGTATGACTCCGGAGGTGAGCGTGCGGCGACCCTTCGTCAGCAGCTCCAGCTTGCCCTTCGCACTCGTGCGGAAGTACAGGAACGACACCAGCATGCCACTGGTCAGACATTTTATATTTATTACTAGCTTTAGCCCGAGACTACGTCCTCTTGGAATAACAACAAAATAAATAGCTTGTGTGTGTTTTCCAGATTAACCTCTATGTTTATGCCAAATTTCATCAAAATCCGTTCAACAGTTTAGGCTATAAACTCTAACAAACATCTATAAATCTGAACTGTAGCAACATAGCAATTTATTTTGTTATGAATCGCAATAAAAATAAAGTAAGGTAAAGTTGAAATGTCCTATTACCCGAGACAGAAGAAAGTGTCAACGCTGTAAACAGCGCTGATGATGAGCTGGAACCAGAAACTCTTCTCGAGGATGGCGC